CCGAATTCCTGTGGGAACTGGATTGATGAACAGGTCTGCACACTTCGATAATTGCATGTACTCTTCGATAGAACTATTTCTTAAATTCGCCCAAACTAATTATCCAGTCGATAAGGGGATTCCTTGTGAAGGACCATATTACCCCAATGGCCATATTGCCCCAATGGCCATATTACCCCAATGGCCATATTACCCCAATGGCCATATTCCCCCAAGTTACCCTATATTTTTTTTTTGCATCTGAGAAATTTCCAGAAGTTTCGTTAGGCTAGGTTAAGGTTAGGTTTGCCCATTTTTGGCATTAAACTGATTTTTATGAAAATATTATTATGGTATCGGTTTCACTTTTGATCATGAAATGTATACTTTTCATGCAAATGTTTTTAAAATTGTTTTATAAAGGTAGGTTAAGTTAGGTATTTTTACTGTTTTCAAATAGGACTTCCAATGGATGCATTCTGCATCGCCAAAAAAAAATAATAATAACATTTTGGAAGTAATCGATGAACCTAGGCAGGGAACCGGAAATCTAGCAAAATTGTTTCAATGATTGTAACATTGTAATAACATGAAGTTATTGATACAAAGATGCATTGCCAGATTTTATGAATGCAATTCAATTGTTTCTTGGTAGTTTGCATTTCCCTTCCCTCAAAACTGTTGGAAGTATGTATTATAATGTAAAACTCATTCTTTGAAATTCAAAATAACTTCATCGTAATCTAACTTAACCAAACTTTTTCAAACCCTTCAGATTAGAGAAATTGATATTTTATTGAGAGAAAAAATGTTTGTCCTCGAGAATGGAAGCTACAAATACTTCAAATCATCTTTCAACCAAATTGATACCATTTTAAGTGGTGATGGGGGCTTGTAAGGAAGTCACACCAACCTATAATGCAAACTTAGGTTAAGTTTATTTTGGAGGATATCTAAATCATGAATACCTGAGTCGTCTGTGATTGCTGAAAGACTGCTTCATCTTGCTTCGGCGTCCAAGTTGGGAAGGCTGTTACTATGTTTCCTGCACCGACCTGTACGGACTTCTCCTCCAGAATGTCCAACTGTCGGCGCAACTCAGCAACCTATCAGAACCCAATCTCGTACCTTTGAGGCACTTCAACAAGAGATTATAGCAATTGTGAATGGAATAGAATGTGAGACCTGATTACTGCTCTCCTGGAGCTGCCTCTCAATGGTGCAGTTCTTCTCTCCATATACATTCTGCTCCCTCTTGAGCTGCTCCTCGGGGTCTTTTGCTTTCTTCTCCATGGTCAATTTTTCCCACAGCTGCAGCTTTTCTACCTGGAATCACATGTCATTTTCTCACCTGTGACCAAAAAATAAAAAATAAAAACCTATAAAAAGGAATAAGAGAGAATAAGAGACCGCATCTCTGCTCTCACTGAGCTCTTCTTCGATCACGCGGTAATCCCCTTCCATCTCTTGATTCACAGACTCTTTCTTGGATTCTTTTCTAAGCTTTGTCCTAACAGTCCCAACCTGCGCTTTCAGTCCCTTCTCTATTGCCTGTACCTTCATCATTTCTTGATTCAGTTCTTCTGGCACCTCGTCCACCAGCTGGATCTGAATAAATGAATGCTAAGGAATTCTGAATGGGCATTAAGTCCGCATGCCTTGTGCTCTGCGATCAAGGAAATTTTAGAACATAGATTGATTGATCTCATAATAATATCTAGAAAGAATAGCTTTATTGTCGTGCTTAACTGATTCTTCCTTTCCTAAAGGCATAGATCATTTAATGGCCCTCTCTTCCTCCTACTTGCTAGTTCGCATGACTTCAACTTCCCAGCCAGTGAAAATTTGGTTCAATGGTGGCGATGTTAATGAACTGGCTTAAACCTGGGAAAAAAAGGTTCTACTTTAAGCAAAAGTAGTGGATATTGTGACGAAACATTAACGAATCTACTGGAAACAAAGCTGTACTCTCTCACCTTGATTTCCATTATGGGCTCGGTAGTGACTATCATAGACAGCTGTAACTAACCTCTTGTTGCTACTCGTGCCATGAGATGATCTTGTGAAGGATATCTAAGTAATTGTGTTACACCCTGAACTCAATGTCGCTGTTTCCGGAAAAAATGACATCGTTTTGTCAAGACAAAGCGATCACGGCAATAAATCCATTATCAGCAACTCAGTGAATGTAATGTCCCCATTTTTAACTATATAAAATCAAGAAGGCAGAAATAGTGAGTTTCTCGAATTGCTCATAAAAATTACCTAAACACTAATTCCTCTTGCATTTTATTGGCTATTCTTTTCAACGATTAATTCCTTGTAGATAAGAGTACGTAGTTTGATGTCCTAAAGAATGGAAGTGTGATGCCTTGTACAGGTCAAGTCCTGGGCAATGTCCAATGCTTTTTCTTGGTTTAAGACAAGGTCCAAAAAAATGGATGGGTGTGTTCAGTGAGTTAAAGGTAGGATGCCTAGCTCTCTCTCTCCTAGAACTACTAGTCCAAGAAGTACATATCACAGGTAGTTCAGTTCAGGCTCCTATGGACCAGCCTCATCAACGTTGAGTTTTTTAAGTAAAAACAATGGAGGGTTTGCGTAGTGAACAAGGGTACGAGTTGAGCAGATATATAGGAGACGGGGAACCGGCGTAAGCCTTTAACAATTGATGATCCAGATGTATATGTCATGTACTTGAAGGATTTCTTTTTCTTTCCTTGTTATGACTCATTTCATTCCTTTCACCCCTTTCGTCCTCGCCATGGGGCATGTACCCAGCCCCCTCACCTTGGGACGGAGGACTGCTTTCTCCGGCCAGCTTTGCCCTTAAGTAGTGGAAGTCTCTCCATACTCGGGGCATTCTCTAAGCATTCGTGGCGCAATTCTCCAGTGCGTCTTGCCACAGGCATTCTATGGTGCCCGGCCTCAAGAGCATTCGATGGCGTCCAGCCATGAGGGAGGTATTCCTTAGTCCTGCCATAGGAAGCATACCTCGACATCCTGCCCGTACTATCAATGCGGTAGCTTTTAGCAAGCATATTGAATAATATTTATCCACTGAAGGGATTTATATGACTAAGTGACGTATATCTTCATTTCTCTCAGTGAGAGGATGCTCCTCTCATGAACATCCATAACTGAATAAGTACACGAAGTACCAAAAAGCAAATTCTCACAAAATAAACTGCTTCACCACATCCCAGGAAAAACAAATGAACCGAATAGATGCTAAAATGCCGATGGACGTTCTGGCCTTCTGCAGGCTGACTCTCGTGGCTCCTTTTTTCGGGGCTAATACTGCCAGTACTGAAAGGCACTTTTCGAGAATTGTTGAATTCATTTGAATGTTTGAGGTACATCTTGACCTAATTTTCAATAAGAGTCCACCTACCATTAAATAATCTCTGACGCAGGTAAAGGAAGAGGGGAGTGTGTACCTTGGTGATTCAGAGTCGTAGTGCAATCATGAGTCTTAAACGACCTGTCAAATCATATCAGGAGTCAGGAGTCAGGAGAGGTAGTGATATCAAGAGGCGATTTCGCCCATTTCGATATCACGTGTCGAGGAAAGAGATATCGTAAGAGAAAANGTCAGGAGAGTTAGTGATATCAAGAGGCGATTTCGCCCATTTCGATATCACGTGTCGAGGAAAGAGATATCGTAAGAGAAAAAGGCCGAATGAAGCAAATGGCGTTTAGATCGCACTGGAGGAAACATTGGAAGCAGTTAGAGAACTTTTTGAACTTGGGCTGTATGAATTGTCAAATATCCGTGTTGCCTGCACCTGAGAAACGTAATGCAATACATTCGACCAGAGGGAAAATGCGACACGGCCATCGATATAACATGTTCATTTTCTTAATACAACCTCAGGAAGAAGAACACGAATTAAGAATATCGTATACATTTCCATGAGCCATGAAAATGAATAAAACTAAGCACACCTGTGGAGCAGGACTGCACGTTTATGTTGAACATTATAAATAAATCTCAGCGGTAGGATTTACCTTCGCCAGGATCCTCAGTTTCCTTTCTAACCAATAGAATTTTACATAAAAATTAGGTATCTCATTTTTTTCGTTTGCTTCTTTTGAAGGATGTTTCCTACTCCACGCGAAAACGTAGGTTTCCATGCGGGGGACACGGCTCTCTTACCTCTTTGACTGCACTTGTAGTGGTCAGTGTCTCCTCATTATCCGACTTGGGATGTTCCACCTCTGGCACCTCAGACCTATAAAGGAAAAGGACATACGTGCATTTCAGAATGTGAGATCAGCTCTTGGATCAGTGACACTTTTTTCGAATTCCCGTTGTCGGACCTGGAGAGTTTTTGCTTTCGGCACTTTTCTGATACAATTCCTAATTTCATCGAGCGAGAATTCCCATAAGCTTACTATACGAGGGTTGTTCCAAAAATTTTTAAAGTGATGCAATAAACACGCAACAATTACTGTTTTACTGTTTTTTAATCCTATAAATTTTCTCAATTTCCTGGAGGTTGACTAAATTGCAAAAATTGTTGCCTCATATAAGAAAATTGCAGCGATGAGTTACGTAAGTATTGAGAATTTTCATCATGCATCACTTGACTGAAGGCCAAAGACTAAACGATTTTGCAATTCACTTCATGCTAAAGAGTTTTCATGAGGTCGAAACGCCTGAATGGCATTAAGAAATGCGGAGAATTTGGTTCCACCTTCGCATCAATTGAGACAACATGCTTTTTCACTTCACTGCACGACATATTGAAGTTCTTCGGTCTTCATGAGGGCCATACTAGAGGCTCGCATGCAGATTTTCGCATGCCTACTATGTTTGAAGCTCAGAACAGCGACCGAAACCAGGACTACGAGGATCCCACATCGCCAGAACATGCACCAGGCAAATTCAACCATCAGAACAAAACCATTTTTCGAAGAACAAAGACTCCAAACACTGTTTCACCCGTCACACTCTCCAGATTTAGCCCGATGATACTTCTTTCTCTTGCAAGATCATTAATAGCCACTGAATAGAAGAAGATGTATGTTCGAGGAGCTGCCTCATAATAAAATGAACCTGGTGTGAGCCACACAATACCTCAAAACATGCTTTCAACGCTGTTTCACCAGAATAGAAACTTACATTTCAGGTAATGCAAGAAACTTCATGAAATGTTTGATGTTTCAAGCAAATTAATACATCTCTGGACGTGTTAAAGAAGGAAAACTTTGGAAGAATCCTAAAACTAGAAAAAGAAGACATTCTGCGCTTCTCTTGCTCTTATTTGGAAGCCAGAGAAGCCTTCTCGGACTGCACCAAGCACCGCACTTCTATGAGTACTATCGCAAGTCATCATAGAGCTTATTTAAACATTGGGTTATCAGTGTGAAGAGCTTCGCGGGAAGCGCACGTACTTGAATGTCGCAACAGCCCGGCTTGCATTTCAGTGTGAGAAAGAAGAGACTCACCTGACCGAGCCTCCGTAGCTCTCTTTCGAAACATCATCGGAAAGACTGGAGGTTGAAGATTCGCGAAAGTATCCGGGAACCTCGCCACGTTTTGATAGGTCAATGGATTCTGTGGGAAAATCCATCAAAGCAAGTATTGAACACACGAAGAATCCTTTGTCCTCGATTGCAGTCTCCCCCTATCCGTTCTTGTTAGTGAGGTAACGCCGGAGGGTGGAAGAGAGGAAATGCCCCATCACCTTCACAATACTGAATTCACCGTGTACGGCTTCATTTCCTCAAGAGAACCTCGAATTTTTGTTTGCTAATTTGTGCATCCTTTCTTGCGTCTCTGCATTAACGAAATAATGGAATGGGAGGGAGATGAGTTTGCCGTTCTAATAAGAAAAGGATCATACTGGTTTTGAGAAAATTGATGGAAATGACTAACATTAATACTTTCTGTATCCACCACTGGATTAAACTGCCGGTCAGACTGCACCTCTACCTGTGAAGTCTTTTCGATTCCGAGCTGGGATTCTGCGTAGCATTTGATTGGGGATCAGATGCAACATCTCTTCAAATAATGAAGGATGAAGGGGTATTTTCTCTCGGGCATGAGGCGACTCTAGGATCGCCAGGGTCGCTAAACCAGAGCAACAGGCATCGAAATGGGAGAACTCACGACGTCGCATTTTCCAGGCCAGTTTTTTTTGGCCCGTCTCCCCGAGGGATTCCAAGAATTTCTGGAAGGCGGTGTCCCCTTTCTGCGGCAGTTTTTCCTGAATGAATATGATTTTCTCCATCTTCTGAGACGTCTTGATGA